GCTCCTCCAGCTGTCTCATAGTACCAGCCATAATTTTAAATATATTTTTTAATCTAATTTTCTTAAAGAAAATCCTCGTAATACAAGTTTAGCTAATCAGTCATTGCGCATCTCGATTTTATTTATGTACATTTTTCTTCATTATCGGTAACGTTTTGTTATCGACAATTTATGTAATTGATATATGAGAACGTTTTTTCAAATAGAGATGACGCCACCATACAAAAATTGCCGCGTTAACGTCATTTTGAATTTAGCGGCACTACAACGGTACCCTTCCTTGAATTCGGCACGTTGCATTTATTGTCTTCGTTGTTGCGTTTATTGTCGCTCATGTTATTATCGTGTTATAGTAAATTAAAAAGTACAAATCACCGAGTAATTGTGCCGAGATATCATCGATTTCATCGTCACGAAAAAGAAAATCGAAGGAAAGCGTCGATTTTCGAGCCAAGAAACATACAATTTGTTATACGACCGAGATTCTATCTCGCAAAGGTAAGGCCCATTTTAAAACCGCAGAACCATTTTCCTCTTTAAAGAATAAACCGTTCCAATTTTCCAATTTGATATGTATTATGTATAAATAGAACAATTAGCTAGAGCATCGATTAAATATCATTTATTGAAATTAGCGCCTTATAATTTATTTTCATATTTTATTTTGATGGCATATTTTTTAAAATGCCAGAGAGACTAATCTTTCACATATCACATTTTTACGGAAAGCTGATGCTTTCCAGCTATTTCACAGTAACAGCTATAACTTTAAATCTTATCTTTTAATGTAACGTTTATAGAAAATTCTCATAATATAGCAGAGTTAGCAGAATTAGTCATGGTGCGTCTTTCTGTATCTTGATATATGAGAACCTTTTTTCCAGTAGAGATGGCGCCATCATACAAAAATCGCCGCGCTGGCGTCACTTTGAATTTAGCGGCATTGCAATGGTCACTTTTCGGCGCATCGTCGCGGTTTATGTTGCGTTTATTTCATCGTGCGTGTTATTTTTGTATTACAGTAAATCAAGGAGTGCAAATCACCGACAAATTATATCGAGATATCGTACAAATTCGCCATCGTGAGTGCGCGAGAAAGAAAGGCGAAGGAAGGTCGATTTTCGAGCGAATGAAGATACAATTTGTTATGCGACCGAAGTGTTCTATCTTGCAAAGGTAAGCCCATCTTAAAACCGCAGACTCGCTTTTTTTCTTTATTAAAGAATAAACCGCTCCGATTTTCCAATTTGATATGTATTATGTATAAATAGAATGATTCGCTAGAAAATCGATTAAAGATCATTTATTGAAATTAATGCTTTATAATTTATTCTCATATTTTATTTTGATGGCATATTTTTTAAAAGGCCAGCGTTCAGAAAGACTAATCTTTCATATATCATATTTTTATGAGAAACTGACGCTTCTCTAGCTATCTTACAGTACCAGCTATAACTTTAAATCTTATCTTTTAATGTAACGTTTCTTATAAAAAAATTGTCATAATACAGCAGAGTTAGCTAATTAGTCACGGCGCGTCTTTCTGTATCTTGATATATGAGAATCTTTTTTTAAGTAGAGATGGCGCCACCATACAAAAATTGTCGCGCTAGCGTCTCACTTTGAATTTAGTGGCAATGCAACGGTCACTTTTCGGCGCATCGTCGCGGTCTTTGTGTTGCGTTATCTCATCGTGCGTATTATTTTCGTATTACAGTAAATCAAGGAGTGCAAATCACTGAAAAATTGTGTCGAGATATCGTACAAATTCGTCATCGTGAGTGCGCGAGAAAGAAAGGCGAGGGAAGGTCGATTTTCGAGCGAATAAAGATACAATTTGTCATGCGACCGAAGTATTCTATCTTGCAAAGGTAAGCCCATTTTAAAACAGCAGACCCGCTTTTTCCCTAATTAAAGAATAAACCGCTCCGGTTTTTCAATTTGATATGTATTATGTATAAATAGAATAATTCGCTAGAAAATCGATTAAAGATCATTTATTGAAATTAACGCTTTATAATTTATTCTCATTATATTATTTTGATGGTACTTTTTTAAAATGCCAGCTTTCAGAGAGACTAATGTGTTATTTTTGTGTTATAGTAAATCAACAGGAGTGCACATCACCGAGAAATTGTGCCGAGATATCATAAAATTCGCCGTCGCAAGTACGCGAAAAAGGAAGATATCGATTTTCGAGCCAAGGAACATACAATTCGTTATTTTACCGAGACTACTTCTATCTTGCAAAGGTAAGCTCATTTTAAAACCGCAAAACCGCTTCAAATTTTCAATTTAATGTGTACATTTTCAATGTAATGCGTAATTATTTATGAATAGAACAATTCGGTAGAGTATCACGCACGATAAAAGATTTGAGATTAACATTTTACAATTTATTATCATTATTATTTCTTAATGCTTCGCGATAAAATATTTTATGATTCTGGCGAGAATTTTAATATCCAAAAAAATATAACAGTTTAGTTATCGCAAAATAAGATGAACGCATTTCGAAGAACTTTTGACGCATTTATAAGCGATGTTCAAAATGTCGATGTATAAATGCTCGATAACTTTCTTATCCTCCGACTAGAATGGCGTTGGAATGCGACGTGCTTACGCGACGAAGACGACACGTTCTAATGTGCTGCAACGGGTGCAGACTGGCGATAGGTGACAGGAATACGATAAGGACCACCGTTGTGTTTAGGTCTGTTAGCGACCGCGTTGTCTTGTGTCGCCGTCTCCGGACGGTGGAGAGTGAAAGGGAGATATCGCCTCATATCACATACACACACAACGGCGTATATACCATTATGATTCGGCCGCGTGCATATATACACCAGCTGCACCCAGGAAGACAGGATGCGCACATCCGCGCGAGACGTGCGGCGTTATCGCGATCGCCAATCGTCGTGACGTCAAGATCGTATGAATCTAACGCATACGAATCTGAATCTCATCGCGCGGATGTCTACTTGCGTTTTCGAGTATTCGTAGCAAACGTTAATTTTTCGATACGACGCGCAGGTTCGACGATTATCAATTCGGTTCTCTTACATTTCTCAGATCAGGCGTGTGTGTCTTCTGATTAAATGCTAAATAAAATAATAATAAAAAAATGGAACGATAAAATAATAATAAAAAAATAGAACAGATGTAATAATCATAACAGAATATTAAAAGGTAAAAGGATTGCTAGCGTGTTACAGATACAATATGTCATAAATCGCAGTCCAAATTAATTATCAGAGATTATTAATTATAAGTGAATGAGAAACAAAGAGATAAAAAGAGAAAAAGAGAAAGAGAGAAAGAGAGGATATGATAGCGGTTTATTTTATTATGGTAATTTTTTAAATATAATACGCTATTCAATACACATTTCGAAGGATTAAACCATTCGCAATGGTAGTCTTTAGAAACGCATAACGTGATCCTTGAATAGTTCTGCGTGCATGCGTACATGTATGTATAACATCACTGATATTTCATGAACGAGCTTCGGTTAAGCATGTATCGGATAATGTAACAATATCATTTGTACCATTAATACCGTTTGCCCCGGATTGTGTGTAAATTTCATTATACTTGCATTCGCATTGTTGACCGCAATTATCTTTATAACGGCATAATGTGCGCGATATTATACGTCGTTAATTTATCGGTCGCCATTTTACCCGATCCTATTTCGAGTATAATGGGAAATTCGGAATTGACCAGTGAGAATGTACTTAGCATCGATCGCACGATTCTCTGAGATCGACACGTTCTTTTATACGTGACGATGGATTTTTCTATTTAATTCTTTAACCGATAGAAAAACCTACAGTTATGCATTTTTATTCCGTCGATTCATCTTCATCGCAATTCTTTTCCCTTCAAGATGATATCGAAAAATAAACCTCGAGTGTATTGACGCTTCTCCTATCACAAGATATTGACAATAAATTCGATTATGTCTAATATGAACGGCATTAACGGTTTTTCAATGTTAATATCTAAATATTAAATTACATAAAATTGATGGAAAAGAAAGATGCGAAAAGTAAAATAACAGAAAAATGATTTTTAAAAATAATTCAGGTATACTACAGAGGGAAATAGCTTTTTAGATTAGTCCGAAGATTACTTGGAAGAGATAAATTCATCCAAAGCGCTGGCAAAGAGAGAGTGCCGTAAGAAAAAATACATAAAACACTGAACAGCCTTCGAAACCGTGCATATGTATTAAGAATGTACCTTAAGATCTTATGTACGATTAAGTACAGATTCTCAGCAGCTCTTAGAGTATATATTTATGTATATACGTATTTTTCCAGCATAACACATATACTCCAATCTGGATTGAGAGAAGAGGCCCCGTCGGGAAGGAAATGAGACCGAGGGAAACGTGGAGTGCATGGAGAGAGACGCGTCGGGCGACTGGAAAAAGTGGAGAAGCTTGGCGAGGACGAGAGATGAAGAAAGTAAGAGAGTGAGTAGGAAAGAGAGAACGAACATTATTAACACTATGCATCATATACCGACTTCCGAGGCCGAGGCTTTTTATCGCTCGGAAGATAGGTAAATCACGGCGAAATATCAGAAGCTGACGACTTTTCTCGCCGCACACTTTACTCTGATTAAACCCCGCTATATTCGCGGGTGCGAACAGAGATGTTTGACTGTAAGATTGCCTCGGGAGAGTTTCTCACTTTTGTCTGTTGCACGCTCCGGAAGTACGGCATCAACATCTGTAACTCCGCGATGTGAGTGAGAAAGAGAGAGAGAGAGAGAGAGAGAGAGAGAGAGAACTCTCTCATAAAATTCATTCCAACGTAGATGTTTATTTTAAAAAGAGTAATATAGAGTCGTTTTAAATATATCTTTTTTAATAAAAAAAGGATCCTGAGGTAATCTTATTGTATTAATACAATATTTGATATCTGTGTACTTTGCGAAAATAATTGAAATTAATTAATTAATTGAAATTAATAATTATTTTCTTTTAAGAGGATGCTAACATAAATGTTATATAATGTTTTTATTAGGATAATATTTCTTTATGATTATTATTCATACGGCTTATATTTATTCTGCTGCTAAAACATCTATTCCAGATGAATTTTTATACAGCTACAATAACAATGAAAAGAAATACACGGGAGTTTTTTTCTCCTTACATTCGCTTCACCGTGGACTCGTAAACATAAATCGGTTCCCGCGAGATCGATGGCGCACGCCGTGCACACGGTACATTTCCCGCGCTTTACGGATGTAACCTGTGTTGCAACCCTATTTGCCACTCCGCATCTGTACGTCTACGAAATTTCATTTCCAATTCCAATGGACACCAATTTCCAAATTGAGCGCCGTTGCTGCGCCCGCGGTTCACGAGCAATCGTTTGCTCGGCGCTTACGAGAGAGGTGGCCGTTTCTCACGAACTTTATGATTTGAATTCAGAGCGAGAGTCGGTGTCGTTGCGTAAAAGAAATACGATTTTACTTCAAACTTGACTGTAGCTCGACGAATAAAAATTGGTTTACAGGCGATAACACATCGACGATATTTCAGAGATTGAGATTGTCATATATTATATCTTGATAGGAGATATTTAATTGGCAAAGAAATGCTCCGATGAACAAAATTTGTTTTAACATACATCACAAATCGAGTAAAAAGCGCATTCATATAACGATTATTTAGTTATCAAAGCAATCGCATCGACAAAATTTATTTTGCCATCAATATATAATTCATTTAATGAATTTGATTGAAACAGAATTTGTTTGAAACAGATATAATCATTAGTTTTAAACAGTTTCTTCTGTTAACGTAGATAGCGGAAGATTCGATCAATAGATACGATCAGACTGATAAATTCAGCAATTTTTTAATAATGGATATAAAATGGGGAAAATGTAAAAGGTAAAACCTCTTCGTAAATTAAAATATTAACGACACGCGATAAAAGCATCGTTGCGTAGAGTAACATATCGAGCGTAGATCCAACAAGCATAACAGTAGAACTTGATTATCCGATAGTTTTAAAGGAGGAGAATGCTTTCTCGGCGAATATCGCTGCAAGTTTATGGACGACGAGCGGATGCGAGCGCGGTGGTTCGCAACAGATACCATCTAGATGTGTTGCATTCCATTTGCCGACAAGTTCGGTTATAAGATAAGGACACGACGAGATCTTCCGGCTTTAACGCACGTTGGACTGGAATTCGAGCAAGCGACTTTGGGAGTTGATAACTCCGGGATTCGCGGAACGTGTACGGGACACACGACTGGCATTAAGCCATCCCGCATTAACGACCTCAAGCAAAACGAATTAATTCTCTTGATATAGTTCGACTCATATCGCGACTCCGATCGTTTCGCTCAATTTAATTCATTCTTCTCACTTTGTACAATCGCGTCAATTCACGCGTACTGTTGCGCTATCGTCGATTATATACATTCGATTTTATACATACCTCGTATCTCGTTCTCTCTTTATGCAACGCGCGATATAAAATCTACATATCGCGTAATGTTCCTTTGGAACGCTCGGACACATACATACACACACACATAACACACGGTTATCGAAAATGCGCATTTTATTTGAAATTTTGAAAGCGCGCGGCTTGACAGTTTCCCCTATGTAACACCGTACGAAAGTGCCTCTTCCTTCTGGATAATACACGGAAGCAGTTCCAACGACATGTAAGATTCAACGCGCACGATGTGTATAACTCCCGATAAGGACCAAATCTTTTGCGCGAAACGCGCGTGGCAAACGCGGTACGAAACAAATATAAAAATACCGAGATTACGTGAAATGTTGCGTGCAAAATTTATTCCTTATATATAGGGCGCCTTTTTCTCTCTCTCTCTCGTTTTCTCTCTTTTATATACATATGTTAAAACTCCGCCAATTTGCGTGTGTAAACGACGATTGTAATTAAGATAGAGCTAGTGCAGATATTTGCGCAAACATATTTGAAGCGAATATTTATAGGAGGTAAAAATATTTTTTTTTTACCTGTGTCAAATCGCAGGGTACGCGTGTGGAAATGCAACAATTTTGATGTTGCAGATACGGAGAGAGACATTTCTTGCGGCAATCTATCATCGCGAATAAATATAAAGATAATTCTCGAGTGTTCGTAGCATCAAGATCTGAATCCGCGCCGACTTCGATCCTTGAAAATACTATGCGTATTGCGTACAAGTCATTAAGCATTTCTGTTTTGTATATATGCTAGCAATTATTTCCATGTTTAAGACGTTAGAAACGTCGTTATCTTATTACGAGCACATTAACACATCGAGTGTTCCGATTTAACGTGTCGAGATAACGGTTTAGGATAGATTATCTTTGAGATAGTCAAGTGAGATGATGTCTTGCCGAAGTAAAATTAAAAACTATATATTTACCAAAATCGAGACGAGAAAAATACTAATCGAATCTCGTGCCGTACTGAAACACATATTGTATCAACTTGCAATCGCGTCGAATTTTGTCTTTTTACGAAAGAAAGAAAGCCCGCTCCGTTCTCTCTCCGCATTGCAGTTCCACGCATTTCTCGCATTTTATCGTCGCAACGATTGATGAATTTTCACGCACTTTGACGTGCGCGCCTCTCGCAGTTATGTATGTATCATCGCGGGCTATTATTTCGGACAGCGAAACGGCCAAATCCTCTCCAAGAACAGCCGGCTTAAGTTGGCGGGATGCTGCTCCCATCCCAACTTAGCTAATTGCGCTTTAGACAGAGGGTCTTCCGGTATTTATATCTTTGCTCGCGTAGCTTAAGCTATTTCGCGGTTCTAAAGCAACGTGCTTATCGTGCTTCAAGAACGTTGGATTGGCACGGTGAATGCGTTCCGCTTCCGGTAAGGATAGGAGAGTACTAGTGTCTATCGTCCCGTTAACTCTCACAACTTCGTCGTCATTATATAGCTGTCGCCATTATATATTACATTCAAGTGCTTATAAAGAACACATACTAACGCCTCTGTAAACGTGGTTGTACGAGCATTCCAAAGTATATCAGTAGATTATAAACTAAAATTATAAGCTTCCCAAAAACATTATTGTTTAATAATAGTAATCGGTTATAATCTGTTATTATATTATAACGCTTAATAACATACCTCCATCACGGTAAGATCGATGGCGTAGTCGAGTCACTAATCGTATTTTTTCGTTTTTTCCCAAACTTTTGACCCGTCGAACAAAACCTTTTCGCGAAAAAATCCAACGTTAGAATGATGCTAGTTGACGGAGATATTAGTACTCTCCGTTGGTATGCTTCGCGAAACGCGAGGGAATTCGTGCTGACGCTTGAAAGGCACATCTCGTGAAAAATGCGTCGGGCGATTTAGAGTGACGTCGACCGAGAGGCATCGCCCGAAATTTTTTTTTTTTTTTTTGCCACTGCGCGCAAAATGTTCGTAAACTTTTAACCCGTCGATTAGCTTTCATCAAGCCCTCTGGAAGTCGGTGATGTTGTTATATAAATTCTGCGACTTTTTTTTCTAGCTGTTTCTCTTTCAAGCAAATGTTAATTTGTCGAGCTTAACTTGTATAAGAGTTAGATCCAACTAATAGAGGTGCACTCACGCTTTTCTTTTATATTCGATCTGATTGTAAGCGATGTCGTAAGTTCTGATCATCTTATCGAGCGAACAAAATAACTGGATGAACGTTCATTCTTAACAACGGTATAGAATAGAAACGGTCGCTTTAATTCCATCACACGCGTGAAATTTTTATATATTATATTTATATTTATGCTACGAAACGAGCTCGCTAGAGCAGGATAACGGCGAATCTTAAGACGTATACACGTATGCACGTACATATCTATCTTGGCAAGATTCCTCTCAGACGACCGTCTAGGGAAACATGTTGTCAAATATTCCGGCGTACCCCTCGAGGCTCGTTCCTCTTCAGGAGTGACTTCGGATTCGTCTCTCGACCGCTCGTTTCCTTCCGTCCCTGAAGAACTTTCGCGACGGTCACTGCGCCGATAGCAACTTGAATGACGACGACGACAGATCTCTTGACCTGTAAGAGGACAAACGGTTCAACTGTCCGTACTTGAAATTCTTAGCTATGCGTCTTCCGATTGGTTATACCCTCGGTTAGGGTATCAGCCTATTCGAAGGGATGAGAAAGCGGGCAATAACGCGAATTGGACATAAACTATTGGCACATAGTTATGAAATATATACAGGTTCTCCCATATAAATAGATACAGAGCGGTACTACTTTGTATTCTTTGTCGAAAAATAAGCATCTTTTTTCTTTAGTAAAATTTTCGGAATATGTATTTTCAAAATATTCCATTTTTTTTAAATATTATATACTTATTGTTTCTTGATTTTTCATGTAAATAATAAGTTTAATATCTTAACTTTTACAGATATATATTGAAATTCGACTTATATTTCTATTATGTTCTATATTAATATCACATTAATTGTAATATTGAAGGATTGAAAATTAGCATTTTACGATTAAATGAATTCAGCAATATTTAATATGTAAATATATTAAGATATATATTATAATTTATTACAAATATTTTAAAAAATTTTAAAATGAATTATAAATCAAATATCACAAATATTAAATACATGCAATTTAATATCGTAATATTTATGCATTAAACTGACACATGTGAATGCTTAAATCGGAATAAAATGTATATCAGCGTAATTTCTTAAATTACAATTTTTTTTATTCGGATACGAGTCGAAACTAGCGGGGGAAATTTCGCATTTTTAATTATTTTACCGTTATCTATTATTATCGAATCGATGCGGTTAACGCGAGCTCTTTGAATACTCAACATCCACCTACGTATCCGTGTTTACCGAATCGAATCCGTTGT